TGATTGGATATTTCAACAGCATGGGGCTAGACCACACATTCATCATTTAACACAACAGTGGTGTCAAGACAATTTTTTAGCATTTATCGACAAAGACTATTGGCCACCTAATAGTCCTGATCTTAATCTGTTGGATTATTGTATTTGGGATGAATTTATAAAGGTCATCAGCTGGAATATAGTGACATCCACAGCAACATTGATCAAAGAATTAAAACGTGCTGTAAAAGAAATTCGAAAAAATGCCGTCTTTGAAAGTTGTGCTTCTTGGACCAATCGATTGTGTCGCATGTCACAAAATAATGGAGATCATTTAAGATAATAAAAATATCTACATTTTGTAGAGAATTTCACGGCGAATCTTTCTATGCAAATTTTTTTTTCTCTGCTGGCTTATAGATGAAAAATATGCAAAATAGTGAGAGGCCTATTTATTATAGGACACCCGTTAAAACGGTTTGGTTTGACCTATGAGTACGATGTTGACTGCAGTTCAGTAAATGTCAATAATAATATATAGATGATAATATGATCATAGCCTACTCACAACGAACGAATCGTCGTCGTAACCACGCCGTCAGTATTTTCTTGCATTCTTCCCTATACATTCTCGATGGAATAATGAAAATGACGAATGTGAGCATAGACGGGATGAAAGAAACCATATAGCTGACTAAGAACAACCACGGATTTTGAGCGGATTTCATGCAACCAGAGAGAAGGGAGATAAGAAGGCGAGGTAATGCTAGAATGACGAGACCAACGCAACTAATAAGCAGATGCTTATGCCTGTTAAACTCAATAGATAAGTGCTTTTTGCGATTTTGATGTCGACGAATTATCGAATGTTGGCGGGTGACGATGATAATAAAAAAAGCGATGAGATCAGGTTGATAGCAAAAGGACTAAAAAAATGAAATAGAGTTATTGCTGTATTGAAACTTAGAAAAAATGGTGAATAAGTAACAATACACCATGTGCGTTGTTCATCATAATCTTCGAGAAGTCGACGATGAAAAGGATCGTGAAGCGCTGTGATCGTATTAAAGATAATTACACATAAAATGACCCACTTTGCAACTTGTTTACTCTTTTTCTTATCAAAACTGATGCCTTTTTTGATAGTGATCACTCGTTCAACTGCAACACATGTATTGAGCCATTCACCTGTACTTAACAGAATTCTCAGTAAAGCATCAAGCACTGCGCAATGAACGAATAAAAATGTCTGGTTAGTGATTGTGTCCATTTGAGAAAGTAGTAGAAGCCAGAATTTAAGTGCAAACAGAATCATAGTTAACAAAGAAGTCAGAGATGTAGCGAAAAGGTATAAACCACAGCCAATTACGAGTGCACTCTTTGTTTGAAATGTTATAGTAGAAAGAGTACCTCCAAATAAGCCCAGAGCACATATACATGTCGTCATTATTATACTAATGCGAACAACAATTGGCTGATGAAAAACTGATATGTGAGGGCGAATTTGATATCCTAAGATTGCGTCAAGTGAAAGACCAAAACCTCTAGTAGAAAACTGGCATCGAGTTCCGTAAAAGCACTCGTTACAACGGCAAATTGAAGCTGTCGGACAGCGGAAGTCATCTTGAAAGCACTGACCTCCGTTCTTACAATAGCTGTGCCCTTGACAATCATATAAGGCTTTATGGTCAAATTCAAAGCAGTTGGCATGCCTATGAGAATTGCATAAACATATATGTGATTCATCATAAAAACATGCTAAATTGGAGTAGTACTGGCATGGTTCGTGATAGTATTTGATGCGTCGAAGAAGATCAAGTTGAGTAAAGGTTGTATTATATAGTTCATGAATCGATAGACAACGTCGAGAAGGATTTATTTCAGTGGAGATGATATGGGACGAAAGCGATTGCTGCCGCAAAATAATTAAATAGAATTTGCCATCGAATTCAACGAGAACTATGTGAAACGGGAAGGAAGCGTAAATAACAGTAGAACTTTGATGAAATGGAACCTTATTAAATGTTGTGATGCGTTTATGAGGCGTTTTTTCAAAAGTTTCAATAAAATGGACTAGCATCACGGTTGGAATAAAGACATCTCGAAAACTAACCTCGATTCGAGTTTTTTTATGTTGACACCTGTTACCAAAGTACGCTTCAGGGCAAATACATGTAAAATCATGCTCGGCTATACGTGCATCCATAGGTACGCAAACTCCTTCATTGAGACATATGTTAGGATGTTTACACGACGATCGAGTGAGTAAACATCGAGGACCAAACTTTCCAAGAGGGCATATACAAATGGATGTCGGACCTACACAAACCGCCTCAGCCGAGCATTTACACGCATTCACATGCTGTTGTATATGACAACGCGTACCTGACCAGCCTTGGAAACAACGGCAAACGAATTCTTGTGGTCGATTTTGGTACGATATACAATAACCATGGTTGCTGCATAACATCGTGCAAGGAGACTGCGGCGATGTTACCTTACTTATAGGAATCTTCAGATATAGGGCCATGCGATGCACAGGTAGAAATGTATTGGAGAGAGGAAACTTCCAACTTGCCCAATGATCAAGCGTATGCTTGTCAAAAACATCTATATGTACCGAAAAACTATGCGAGGAATTTTTTGGTTGCGACGCATACAGCAAGTAAATGTTAAATTTTCGATTACAGTCACGAAACGATAGATAGTCGATTTGCTCATGTGAATTTACCAGACTATTTTCATCATCAACTAGTGTTATTAATATAGCAAACACTGTGCGCCAGTTATAAGATAGCTGCAAGCGAAGCGTAAGGCTTACACGCTGGTTTTGATACTGGCAGAGATCCCCATAATAGCTAGGAGGACACAAACATTTTGATTGACCTGTTCGCAACATAATGTGTAAGCCCCGATTGCAACGCCACGCCATAGGTGATTTATTGTTGGCAGTTCGACGGGTGCTAGTCGCCAATGACTGCATGGGTTTCATAGATGGTTTTGACGAGACTGTGTGTGTCGGCCTTGATGCTAATTCCATTAATGGACCAGTATGAGTTGGATAAAAAATTGAATCCAGTATATTGAAATGTGGATTCTTTTGTCTTTTGGAATCAGATAAGCTGCAAAGAAATTCTTCAATTTCAGTACGTCCAGGACCTTTCCAAAGAGTAGAGCATAAAAAGTAACCAGAATTTTTACAGAACCGTTCGTCGTCGGCAGATGGACAATGGTTTATTTTATCATAGTCACAAAGATCCAAATCCGTAAAAACACATTCATTGTAGTGCATACAATGAAAACGGTTTGATGACATATCTGGATACATCTTTCGACAAAGAAATCGCTCATCACTTCCCCCTAGACAATCAATTCTACCATCATTCGCGTGAGAAATGTGTAAGCAGCCAAGTTTTAATGTTACAGGATTGACACACTCATGATGCAGAGATGGACATTTGGAAACGCTACAATCGACTTCATCGGCTCCGTCAGGACAGTTCCAAAAACCGTTACAACGGGTATACGTGTTATTGCACGGCCAAAAATCACAATCAGTTTCGTCTGTGTGATTATGACCTGCGATAAAAATTGGTGGACTGATATCTGTGTAGCCGTCGCATGTCATCCGAAAACTAATCGATGTGTGATTTTTCTGGAAGCTTGGCATATTTGTTTCGTCATCGTTGTTGGGTAGACAATCACCCTTTCCATCACTTTGACGAAAATGAGTCAGACATTTATTCTCATGTGCGCATTTATAACGGTATCTATCATTCAATGAGCAACTCTCGTTGTATGTTTCATCATCTCCATGAAAGCAATCACGTATGCCATCGAGAAGTCGATGTTTCGAGATGTATTTTATCGGTATGGAATATTGACATTGATAAAGTGACGTATGTGACTGCATAGCACCTATCAAGGAACATGTGCGAAAAATGTTTTTGATTTCTGAAAAGAGTGTGATCCAATCATCATATCGATTGCTCGTATTTAAGTCTAACTCGTGGAAATAACGACATGTATAATTGTTAATACGAACTGTCGACGGAAGAAATCCACAACGATGCTCAGCGTAACATACATAGGTAGGCGGTCGAGTGTAATTGATATGAGAGTACCAATTTGTTTGGTTATGAGTATAAATAAACCGCACATGATCATCATAAATAGACATAGGAGGAAATTCGATAAACGATGGACACGCTCGTTCAACAGCGTATGCGCATTTATTATTCAGACAGTATTCCCTACAATAACGTTTACCCAAACGGTTTGAAAATTGTGTAAGGCATATCAAAGAAAGACGACACACAATCTCTTCCACTGAGACATTATAAGCCGTGTCGTTTAACTCTAC